AAAGGCAGGGAGGACCACTTGCTGTGAAGTCAGTCAGACACTGCAACGGCTCCTTCTCTATCCCCAGACGATGGTGTTCCTGCTTTTTCATTGCCAGAGTCTGAGCCACAGCCTCAGTCTCGAGTTCCGCCCCCTGGTCTCCAAGAGTCAACAGATAGGAATGGTCTCCCCCTCCCGTACCTGCCAGGGAGCTACCCCAGCTCGGGTGGGGCAATCTCCCTTAAGCTGAGTCCCCACTGGGGGTGTGAATGCTGAGCCTGGGTAGCCTGTGAGATGGACATGGGTCCACTATCCCTTTTCAACTTCAGATTTAGTTAATTGGGAGAACCATATGCCAGCTTACAGAGACGGCCCAAAGAGAATGGGAGATCTTTCACCGATCTTTGCAACCCCCAACCCAACCTGGGCAGATGTTCAAAATTCCCTGTGGTTAGGTCCAGTGGTTAGGGCGCTCCGCGCTCCCACTGCAGAGGGCACAGGTCCCATCCCTGGTCGGGGAGCTAGGACCCCACGTGCCACGCAGCATGGCCCCCCCCCCCAGACAAAAGGTTCAGGCAAAGTTTATGAAGTACCCTCCTCACTTCAGAAGGACATAGAATGGTGCTGGATAAAGCCACGGGAGAGGCAGATCAGCTGCACACGGAAATCGCTGGTAACCCAGTATGAGCCACGGCGAGTGTACCAACAGCGGACCCCAATTGGGAGGTGAATGCTGGGGATGGGCTAGAACTTGAACGGCATGGAGACTGCATTCTTGGAGGGTTGCCAAGAGGGGCGCCAAGCCAAAGAAGCCTCAGTGAAGTACAGGAGGTAAAAAGGAAACCGAATGAGGATCTTCCAGAATTTCTAGACTGTATCTTTAAAGCCTACAGGCATTATACAGGTATAGACCCTGAGGCTCCACCGAATTTAAAGATGGCTAATATAACTCTTATTGGTCAGAGCACCCCTGCTATACAGAGGAAATGACAAAAGGTGGAAGGGGCTTTAGGGATGCCTATGTCTCATCTTGTTTAAATTGCCTTCAGAATTTTTCATGGAAGGGACCAGTTCAGGAGAAAAGGGAACGACGGAGAATAAAACTGGCCACTCCACTGGTGACTGCCTTGACACAGGGAAGAGCCGGACCAAATGGATGACCCCCCACGAGGGACTCAGCAAAAGGTAAGAGGCCCCAAGCTCCCACTTGAATGGTGCATCCGATAGTGGGACCCCACCAGCGTGCATATTGTAAACAGGAGGGACCCTGGAAAAGCGTCCCATCCTCAGTAAGACTTAAAGGTAAACAGTTGGTGTGCCAGGTGATCAAGAATGACAGGTTGATTGACATCTATACACTAATATGTATAAAATGGATAACTAATAAGAACCTGCTGTATAAAAAAATAAAATTTAAAAAAAAAATGACAGAGGTTCTTCTAAATCCCATCGAGTCCATCAGTATCTCGCATGTGGAGCCCCGGATGACTGTGCCTGTGTGGGGAATCAGCCTTTGGATTTTCCGATTGATACGGGGACCACTTACTTTGTCTTAAACACCTGGCCTTCCAAACTTTCTTCTGAGACTGTTAGTGACTGGGGTGATGGGAGAAACCTTGAAAAAGCCCCTTCTCCAGTCACTAGACCGTCAGATGGGGAAACCCGTCTGAAGCACGGCTTTCTACGCATGCCTGAATGCCCCATTCCCCTTCTGGGACAAGACTCACTAAATGCCAGGGTTACCTTTGCATCTGGGCAAATAGACATTCATGTAGCCCCTGAGCAGGCTCGCCCACTGCAGACTCTAGTGTTCCAACCCCAAAAGACAGCCTGTGACCATTCCGGAAGAGATACTGCAGAAGGGGAGCCAGGAGGTGAGAGGGGATGGGGGTCCTGGGAAGAGAGCAGAGACTGCTACGCCTAAGACATTCACCCAGTGATCCCTAACCCGTACACCCTGCTCACTACTTTGTCTGGAGGCTTTTGTTCGTTTCCCATATTGGAGTCGAAGGATGGCTTTTTTTTTTTCTTTTTGCATACCCTTGGGTTCTGACTCCCAAGAGTTGTTTGTTTGCAGATGGGAAGGTCTAGATACAAGAGTTAAAAAACAGTACTCCTGGACACTGCTTCCTGGGGGGCGGGGGGATGGTTTAAAAATTCCCCCACTGTTAGACCTTCGCGGTCTCCTAGGAGTTTCGACTCGCCCAGGAAACAACAAGAGTCGGAAGCCGATGCAAAACGCAAGAGGTTTATTGAAGGCCGGTGCACCGGGGTTCCTTGGTCCTCACGCAGGAGGTCGAAGAAGGAACCCTTTTGGGCGCGAATATGTCAGTTTTATAGGTTCCCACTTCCCCGTATGTAAATTATGGATTTGGTTGTGTTCTCCTGCTGATTGGTCCCGGCTTAGGCTTGGACCAGAGAGGGAACTTGTCCCTAGCTGCCTGATTGGTCTTTGACAGACACCTTTTTTACATTTTGTTAT